CCCCAAAACCCCAAAACCCCAAAACCCCAATAGCCAATATTAGAGATAAATATTGTAATAAAATCAGTATTATCACTAATATTGTTAAAATGAGTTAAAAATTATCATCGAGAAAGAGATCGACATCTAAAAAGAGAGAAGAGGTAAAATAGAAGGCAGTTCTCAAACAAGAAATCTCAAAAGATCTAGAGTTGAATTTCTTAAAGGACAGATTACTATTTTATGTCGAAAAGTTGCTGATTTTCAACTAAATCAATTAGAATCCAACCATTTTAGAGTTTTAGAATGCAATATCTGTCATTTCAGGCGACTAGCTAAATGAGATTATGGAGGAGAGAGTGTCTCTAAGTTTATGCTGCAATATATCATGCTAAGCTAAAGTGAGTCAGGAGATTAAAGATAAGTTTACTAAGAGAAAACTTAACATCAATAAGTTTGGAAACATTGAGAAGATTGAATAAGTAAGAATCTTTTGTGATAAGCCAAGTAATAAAAGTGAGTCTAAGTGTGAGTAGAGCTACAAAAATTACCTACATTAAGTGTTGAACATAAATGATAATGGACCATTCAGTAGTTAATTCTTGGGAGTTGTTGACACACTTGAGAGGTATTACAAAAACTTAGAAGACTTTACAAATGAGATGTCGTTTAACATAGATGTTGTGAAAGTGCAATAATCTGTTGAAAAATTCAGGCAAGAGCAAGCTAAGTTGATTGCTCCAATAGTTGAAAATAAATTTGAGGAAGTGAAGGCAAAGGCTAATTTTAAGGTAAATGTAGTCTCGAATAGAGGTAATCCTCATCAAGCATAAACTAAGAAATAAACCAGCTAATTAGAGACCTAAGTAACTATAACCTCAGAAAATGAAGCAAAGATGGGAATTGCATCAATAAACAGTCTTCAATAATAATCCATAACTAATCAAACTGTAGATATTAAAGATCAGAGTTAAAATAAATAGAAGAAAAAGAGTGTGAAATTTCTAGAGACGGAAGAAAATCTCTTGAATGATAAGCGAGCAGAGTTAAAAGAGGAAGCTGCTTTATTGTAAGAGATAGTTAAGGATTAATAAAAGTCAACTGATAATGTTAGCAAGAGTGATGCAACAAGTGAGAATGATGATTTCGGAGTTTTTGAGTTTGACGACGTTGAGGGTGAGCTTGAAGACTTTAGAATTAATGAAATGAGCTCATTTTAGAAGGTCTTCGATCTATTCCTTAATCTTAATAATGATAATCTGTATTACTATCTAAATGGTAGGAAATCATTTGAGGATAGTGACCAATATCTTAAGACCTCAACTAGAGACTTCTTTCTAAGGTAGTTGAAGATAAATCTAGAAGATTAAGTCCTACCTCGCTGCTAATAAGCTCTTAAAAAGGGTCTAAAAGATAGAGTTGAAATGGAGATAGTCAGAATTGCGCAGCTTATGGATTTGGTTTCACTAGCAAGTTCCTATGATAAAAATGACTGGAAATCGATAACAGTGGTAATAGTAAATCTAGTGGGGAAGAGCTTTTCAAATAACTTTAAATCTGACCTTCAATGCCAGGATTCATCAGCATTCATTAAAGCATACTTAATACCAGATGACAGTGAGCAAATAATCATTGACCTTTTCAATTGAACAATCTAATTAATTTTAATCTTGATTTCATTAAATCTCAAACTATTAACAAAAATCAGATCTTGGGGTTTTGGGGTTTTGGGG